AAAGTCTATATTAATTGCTAAGTATTATTGAATAGATTTAAATACAGCAAAGTTGCATTTCAACAGCATTACAAACTAAATTAATGTGAAATCAATCTAGTCTGAGATACCAAAGTGATTATTTCACAGCTGTGGAACACTGCCCAGATAGCAGTTTTACTGGAAAGCTTCTAGCCAAATGCTTAGTTCATTGAATAAGCATTTTTGTTCTTGTGTCTTTCAAATAAGAAGTAAAAACAAGGTCCTGAGCACCCATTAAAGATCATGGTGTTTTTTTGAAGTTATGCTTTTAGCAAATTCAAATAAGAGTAGCAAATTCAAATAAGAGTAGCAACATTCTGAAAACCTAGATTTCAACTTGCCATTTCAGTTAGATGAAGTTAGATGATACTCTTCATTTCCTATTAGGTTAGTCTAGTGGTGCAGGGCATCAAAAATAACTTGAAAACACATGGCAAACTAATTGATTCCAACATCACCTATATATATTTTGCTTTTAAAAAGTAGTAAGAGTTAGTGGAAGAAAGTGCATTAGTGGAATGAAGGTATTAATTACCATACTGGCTAGGTGCAGCAACAACTGAGTAAGTCCTAGATGTCTTTTAGGGCTAACCCAATATAAGCAGCTCCAGGATGCCTTATTTATGCTTGGAAATATTGTCCTCTCTAAATTACTAGCAGCATAAGCAATACAGTTTCTTAGGCATTTATATTCCCTTCTCTCAGAGTTCAAATTTATGATATGAGTTCATGCACATGTCCCTTCTTCATGGTTGTGTGGGGGAGCAACCAACACAGTCTTTTTCCTTTAATGTTTTGCAATGTCTAGGTTTCAATGGACCTTCTTGTGTGAAGGAGTAGGCCTTTACACTAATGCTTCTTTTCTGTTTGGTGAATTAGATATCTATAGTGCAAACACTCAATATAAAATTATACTACAGGCTATAAAGGTTATGAAATAAATATATACATCATCCTGGAACCATTTAATCAAGTCTAAACACAGTCTTATCAATTTAGCCTCTATTTTAACAATGCTGACACATAGCAGGAAATCAGTCTGTCCCACCTATGTGTCAGTGTTCAGGGAGGTCTAGGGGTCTTGGAATGAGCTGGCACCTGGTCTGCCAGCATCATCTTAGTAAAAAAAGTTTGCATAGAAAATACAGGATTACTTTAATGCATCCTTATTCTGTAGGAATTCAATTACCTGGCTGGAGCACCAACTACATAGATAATCAGCTGATTTCCAGTCACAAGGCTCTGAATCTAAATACACATGCAGACAGTTGGCTAGACTGAGCAATCATTCTTCCGGGACAAAAAAGTACAAAGAGACTCAGAAAATGAATAGAGCTTTTAAAAAAGAAAATCTATCTAGTAGCTTTTTTTTCTGCTTACAAGAAACAAGGTCAGATGAAAAAAAGTAACATGCATTATAAATAGTGACATTTACAAAATTATATAAATGCAATAGAACTTTATCTTTTTATTTCTTTTTGCTATGTCTTCCCTTGTGTATTGGAAGCAGGATCCTTTTCTTTGCACCCAGCTCAACTACTGTGCTTTTTTATTTGAAAATCTGTTTTATTGTGTAAAGCTTCAGCTGCTATCCCTACCTGCTCAATTTGATTTAATACCAAGGCAAACTGAAGAGATTAATTTATTATTAGTGAGCAAAAGGAGCATCACAGATCATTGGGATTAACAAAACTCTCAGCAAGCATAGTAACCGTTCCGTAAAATTGTTAAAATGGATTTTGGAGTTGCAAGAATGGACCATGTTTGGAACAAATGAATTAGGGTAAGAGTAAAGGTGGTACCAATTATAGAACAGATTAGGGAATCAAGGATAAGAAGTTTGAAAGATTAGGAAACAGCATTCAGTTGAGAAGTGGAGGATAAAGGAAAGGTTGGAAAACTAAAAACTAGATTGGGGTGGGGAACCTCTGGCCTATGGGCCAAATATGGTCCTCTGCTTAATTTGATCCAGCCTGTGCTGCAGGCCAGAAGCCATAAGCATAGGCACCCCTGCATGGAACTGGAACGGCAAGAGCTGGTGCATCCTGCTACGGGTGGAAGCTAAGTTAGCTTCTTGAAGCCCTTAGGTGCAGGGATGCCGAAGGACGATTAGAGAGGGAACAGAGAAGCTCTGAGGCTGTGTGCATTGCACCAACCCCATAGCTGCCATACGCAGGGTACCAGGGCCTATAGCGGGGGTGGCCAACCTGCAGCTCGCGAGCCGCATGCAGCTCTTCACCCTTGAAAGTGCGGCTTGCAAAGCTGCCCCATGCATCCCTACGAACGGCCCCCACCTCTCCCGTGCTCACCAGGGGCAGGTGAGCAGTCCGGTGGAGTAAAAGTGCATCAGCAAGATGCT